ACTTTATATGAAGGGTACTCCATGTTCGGCTTGTCCTGGTGACATGTTCTGCACCACTTCGATGTTATGCGCTTCTATCAATACTGTAACATAATGTCATGTGTTTCGTTTTGTTGGTGACACGTAGAAGTCAATAAAGATTACAAATTCGTTATTTTTCCACATAGCAATGAAATCGCGACTGTTCTTTGCCCTAAGAGCGTTCTATGGTCTCATCTACATGCCAACATTTTGCTTATGAAAAAGATTAATTGTTCTTTGTATAAAACGTGAGGACGTTTCCTCCTGGGAGCTGTCTAATGAAAAAGCATAAAGTCGAATAAATCTTCAGGATTCGAACGTTCGCACGTTTGAAATTGTGTTTGAAATGAGCCGGCAGCTTTTATGCAGCGACGTTGGATTATTGTCAGGGCAATTTGTTGGATCGCCTTTGTGAGTCCTATTTTGTGATTGGAATATGCTAACAGAGAATTCTTTCTTCCCCATTGAATCTCGGCCACACCGTTTCCCACGTCGTTTGCCTGAAGGGTAGGTAGTATATACCTTCTCCATGTACCCGGAAATTCCTGATCGAACGTTCGAGACCGCTTCTCAGACGAGATTTCTATAGAATCTTTAATGGTAGTAGAACACTTCTCATCTTTTCCTTTGTTGCAGTTTCTCTGAAATTTTTAGGGCTTATAGGCCTTTCGAGCTTATCAGGTGGAACAGTTGACAGTAATGGAATAACGTTTCGACACGTTCCTCCCATCCAGCAAGTACATAATCACCTCCTGCAAAAAAAACTAAGGGTTCCATTGGAGAATCCAAAAAGCCCCTGATGTCTTCCTTACGGAAGTTCCGTCATGCAGCTCCAAAACGCTCGCCACATGCACAAATTCGTGGAGATAGTATGTCCATCAAGTGCTGAATTTTAAAATCATGAAAGCAACCCGTCAATGAGAGTTTGATCTCAATAATTTTTCAAACATTTTCAATCAGATGGAATAGGCTATATTCAACCGATCACTTCAGAAGTTAGAAGTAAGGTAGACATAAAGTGGAGGCACAATAAGAAATGCACCCGAAAGTAAGAAGTTGAAAAACCTCCTGTTTTAGAGCTGGCTAGGCTCCCCCTCTCCCTTACTGTTCTTTGCAATCGACCGTGTTAATTTCTTCTATTTTCACACCGCGAGGATGTGCTCATCATGTAGTAGTAGGATATACCTAACTATAGAGATCCAAAACTAGAAGAAAGCCAAAAACTAAACGGTTCATGGACTTCGAAGATCTTGAAAATACTGCGTAGCGTATTCAACGCTGTATTGAACAAAGTCCAGAGCGTGGGGTAAATATCACAATAAGTAATTGATCACAGGTAGAATAATAAACACCGTGTAGGTAAAGTTGGCACAAAGCAGATAATCAAAAAGTTTATGGAGCAATTCAACTGTAAAATAACAATAGATGAATTTCAAGACCATTTTTCAAAATCTTCATAGATCGGTTCAGAATTGAAGAGCCGTTTAGGAGGTTTGCCCATGTGCTCAGAAATTTGTGCACTCAAAAGAGGACAGTAAAATCAGAAGTACAATAAATTCGATGCAAATTTGAGATTTATAAACTATTCAATTCAATAATAGAACAGAGAATTCAGAAGATCAGCGGTATGTTGTTTACAAAACCGCAACTTTTCAGCACCAAAAAACAAAAAATAAACATTAAAATTTTCAAAAAAACAGAAAAATACTGTATCCTACTGAGATCAGAATAGCTAAGTTTTGAGGAAAAATGTAATTACAACCGACTCAGATGCATTGACTATGGCCATACGAGTACATTTTTGGGTACACGTACAAAACTCGGCACACCGGAGACGGGACAAACTTAAAATGACGGGTTTTCTTACAAATATGTACATCATTGGTCACAATTATTCTTATAAAGACAAGGTTTGCTCACAAACCTTTTATGAAGAAAATAGAGATTCCCTTGGGATCATCTAAGTGGATTGAGAATCCAATAACTTCCACACAGGTAATATTAGAATATTATGAATAATTCTATAAGAGCGGAGATTATTTCCAAGTTCATAATAGCCAGAAGTCTCTATCATGTTGAATTTGGGCCGTAATGATAACCACCCGAGACACAGTTCGATATGAGCGCAAGACGTGGGCCAGTAAGAAGCTTTCAGTACTGCTGCTGCATTGCGTTCAATGGGTAATTACTGCTGGCGGAAAATCCCTTGAAAACCGTCGGTTAGACCATTTTAATAGCACTATACTAGTACAAGATGGGCAAGTAGGAGGAGAGGAAGCTCCACGACCTTTTTCCACCTTCTTAAATGCTCGAAAGCGCTGGAGAAGCTGGGTGATCTTCTTCTGGATAATTTTGAAAAGCCACAACTGCCCTTTTGAGCTGTGCCCTTTAGTCTTCCATCCACTTGCCATCACATCAAGCTACATGTTCCTGTCAGGGGATCTTATATCAGAATAGCGTGCAGCAACCACCGATTGTCGCGGTGTAAGAATAAAATTTCAATTCCCTAATTGCCGCGTGCGTGCCTGCGACCGTGGGAATTCGGGTACAAAGATCGCCATACCCGGATCCTGACCCTGCTAGAAATAATGGCAATAAGCTGTATACCAGCCACTTCGGCAAGGCGTTTCTCGACGGGAGCGGCAGGGTTCGATTTCCTCCCTGCAGATAGCACTCGCACTCAAACCTAATGACAGATGCCACCGTTTTCTTGTAAACTCGTCCACTCCATGCTCATAGTCAAAATGTGTCTCATATTCAATGGAGGAAATGGCAAGTGAGAAAGAGCATTGGAGTCTGGATGGAACATCTAAACGCTGGTTAGAAAAATGCGCGTTTCGCCTTGGCCTTTTTCGGCTGTGGTTCATGGTCTTCGTCGCTCCAGCAGCCAGTCGACTCGGCGAATTTGTCGATAATCATTGAAATCGGGAACGCCAACACAATGATGCCGCACACAGATGCCATTGCAGCTACGACTTTTCCTCCTGGAATAAATTCATTACAACAAACAAATAATACTAAAGGAATAACAACTGAAATCTGTTTAGTCAAATAGAACGGAGCACAAATTAACCAAACCCGTTATATGCGTACAATCCGCTTCCTGCAGAGGCAGGTAAGATGACTGGGAGAGAGAGGAGGGATGCAAAAAGAAAGCAAATCGTGCCATTGGGTTCCCCATTCATGTTTCAAGAGGCCATCAGTGAGCTTGAGGAGTCGAGTCACCTGTCCCCCAAAGTTCACCTCATCAATTACTTGGCGACTCTCTTCTTATGATGAATTTGTCAGATATGAGAACAGCTTGAGGAGTTTATCACGAATGAGATGAAAAAATCGTATCGCTGAGATAAAACGAGTTATCATGGTTGCTCTTTCAGAGCATCCGACCATAGTCAGGTAAAGTATGGTTACTATTTGTGATTACTATGAGCATTCGGCCCTAATTACCGGTTCCTCAGGCCTTTCTGTTTTCAGAAATGTCACTTGCTTATACTTCACTACTGCTGGTTGAACTACACGCCTCAAATGTGTACTTCTTGGCGATTTAGGTCAATCTGTGTGGATAGTAACACATTCAAAAGTTCGACGGAGAAGACATGTTTCACCCTTATCCAATATAACATAATTATCATAAAAATTAATTAGAGAATAGTCAACGTGACAGTCCATAAACAGAATGGGCGAAGTTAAGATTTAAAAAGAATTCTCGATTTCGCAACAATTTTTTAAACAAACAAGTAGGCCCACCTGCTGTGACTGGCACAAGATCTCCGTAACCAACAGTTGTCATTGTGATGACGCCTGAACAAAACCAATAAATTCGTAAAGAAATTGAGTAAATTACAGTTATTTTCTTCAACCCGAAGAAAAACTTACACCACCAGCAGGCAGCCGGAATTGAATAGAACTTTGAATTTGGCTCGTCCCTCTCAAAGAAGTATATAGCCGTTGAGAACAACATGATTCCTAAAAGGTGAGATAACTTTTCTCTACTCATCTAAATGAAATTTGACTTCTGAATAACTTCTATTGCCGAGAACAAGTTTTCTACACATTTTCAGTAGATTTGTATGAACTGAATGTATGGGCACGCTAGAGACTGTTGAAATTGTGCGCGAGAAAAATGAGAATGTGAAGATTCCAGAAAGGTTAAACCAGTTTTCGCAGAGGGAAGCCCTATGGAAAATATGGATCACCATACAAAGCATTCCTACCAGCTTAAAGCATACCAGCATAACATAGCACCTTCCATGGTGCACACATAAACTGTCCCCCTCATTTTCAGGCTTTGTAAAAAAAACCACTCACTACATTTAAACATTTCCCCTTATTAAGCTAACGGATCTCAAATGGAGAGAGCGCATTCAATTTATAAGGAGGATATTCAAAGAATAGTTCGCATTGAACCTAGCCCCCTAATCCTATACAATGATAAGCAGATGGCTAGGAAAAGATTCGATAAGGCCTGCACCATGACTGGATTTGCAATCCTTATTAACTGGCGTATAAATCGCTACCTGTGATTAGGAACATTCCGAGCATGCTCAATTCGGCAGCGCTTTTTTTCATCGTCTCCCCAAACGCTCGTAATCCTGTGCTATATCGAGCCAACTTGAATATTCTTGCCACTCGGGCGAGTCGCATAACACGAACGACCAGCATTGCTCCTGAAATACAACTCATACACTCCTCATCACTCCTGATCTACCTACGAAATTCCTTTTCTTTTTTTTCTTGAAGTATCCAAGGCTTGTCTTCGTTAAATAACCATTTTGACAACTAGGAGTACCAAAATGCAGCAAGAGCTTGTATGGGCTTGGATTGATATATGGGTGAAATGATGGGCTAACAGTGAGTAATATTCCATCAGACAAAGAGGAAAAGATGCTTTTCCCTCCCTAGCACCTTTCCCTCCTCCCTCCACCTGTTAACATTGGGAACGGGAGAGAAGAATCAGGAAGTCAGGTTGTTTGGGCACGTTCTGCCTTGTTTAAACACATCACATCCATTATTAACACGTGTTTACACGTGTTCGTATTTTACTTGAAGTCGGATCTTCCAACAGGAAGTCGAGTCATGCCTGCACACAAACATTGCTAGCCACGCCCCTTTTCGGGTACCTTTCGCCGCTGAAACGTTACCTTTGATGGTGAACAACATTTCATTCTGCATCCTGTAGAAACTCGATTTTGTTCAGGAAAAGGAAGAAAAGTTGTGGAAAGGCATT